AAATGAATGAAATATAGACTAATTAAATAAAACAAAAGTGAAAACTTTTCATTTAAATTGAGCTCAATTTAGAAAACAAATTAAATTATATAAGAAATCAAAAACTCGTAATCCAGTAGACATGCAATAAAGTCGTTATCCATTTGAAAGCAAAACCTATTCATTAGTAAAACAAATAAAATTAAAATCATATCAAAAGACAAGTCAATCACTACATACCAAAGAACCCATTCGTGATGTCCAGACACTTATTTGTCACAAAAGCGGCGTTTCTTACGACCCCTCTTAGCCTCAGCCGAGTCTGACTGACCGACTCTTGTGGAGCACCAGTTCCTCACCGTATCGGTCGATCCCGAGAGCATGCGTTCAATCTTGGCCTGCATTCCCGCCTTATTCTGAGGGCAGTAGCGGACAGTATGGGCGCGATCTCCGCCCCCACTATGACAGATGGGACAGTCATACGCCCGGAGAATAGGACACGTGATTCTGCACTCCGGGTCCTTCAGGATGTGGGTCTTGTAGTACTCTTCGGGTTCGTTATTATTCTTACAAAACACACATTCCGTGAGAGTAGGCATACGGCGCCGGATCCGCGGCTGAACGTAGCGCTCCATCGGTCGACCCACTCGATGGTCATCCTTCGGCTGCACCGGAAGGCAATCGTTGACTATAATGGGCGACCACTTGGGCGGCGATCCGATCGGCGACAAAGCCCTTCCCCTGACGTCCGTTTGATACCCAAAGCCATTCAACGCGGGACTTATAGCCCTCATCCCGGTGTCATCATTGGCTCCGGTGCCCAATCCGTGGCCCATATTAGCTCCGGTGATGTTATTCCAGAAGTTTGTGGTCCATTGGATGGTGGCATTGGGCGCCGGTATGGGCGCCGGTGGCAACAGCTGTCGCCGATGGACACTCTCCTCAAGCGATGGCCAATCGGACCACACATTGCGTCCAACCTTAGGACCGCTGAAGAAGTAGCGACTGTTTTGGACATTGAGAGCAGTCGGTGACCACGGATTGGCCCCAAACCCGTTCAACGGACTCCACGTCTTGGCTACTGTCGGATGCGTTCATTGGATAAAAGTTTTGCAAAAAGTTTTTCATAAGTTTTTCATAAGTTTTCTATAAGTTATTCAAAAGTTTGAGAAAAAGTTCATAAGAAGTTTGAAAAGTGAGTTCAAAAGCGGATTATTAGCAGTGAATGAGTGAAAGTGAGACCAAATTGAATGCTTACATGAATTGAACCCATAGTACGAGTTCATGGACTGGCCTTTGCTATCACTTCCCAGCATTTGGTCTATTAATCAACGGATTAAGTAATCCTTAATTCAAGTTAATGGCGATTATTAACAGTTAATTGATTAACACTTTTGTGGGATTTTTCTGCAGGTTTTTCCAATACACGCGTGTATTCACAGGTAGACTACAGCGTGAGTTGAATACAGTGCCGGTCCTGTAGTCCCTATCCTCTGCTTCCGCACGACATCCCTTCCCTCCCATCCCATCCAAGTATTGACTCATTTCTCATTGTAACCCAAACCCCGTTATAATTCACTTCATTTATTATATTTAATATTGATTTGTAAATTGAGTTAATTTTTAGAAACTAGCTTTAAATTGCATGTAGTTTATTAACTTTTAATTATATTGCATCATGTTTTCTTAAATATGTAAGTATTTAGTGAAATATGCATTTTTAATAATTAAGTGTTACTAGAAAAGTGATTTACTTGTGTCACTGTGCTAGGTCATTCAATGCCTATGATTGGTCATTTTGTTATGATTTGTGCATGACTATGAGGTTTAGTGATTGGCTACATACGATAGTTTCATAATGACCTGTCTCACTCACACAATTTCATCATCCATTTTAAAATTAAAATGCATTTCCAATAAATGATTGTGAAATGAAATAATCAGATTTCATAAGCCATTGTTTGCAGTATTTATCTAAAATACTAAATAAAATACAAAAACATTTCTCATACAAAATATTTACTTTACATTGAATAAGAAAATGATAAATATAATAAAAATAAAATTACTTTTAGCTATTAAACAACTTTCCGAAAGATTACATATAAAATAGGATTCAATACCCGGTTTAATCCGCATTTTGGTTATAATGATAGCATTTGAATGGCATTAACAGTAATGTATTTACAATTAATATGAAATAAATAGCGATTTGTGTTAAACTAAAATTATCTTATTTTTGATGTAAACTATAATTAGAGACAACAACAAGACTGGAGACACTAATTGTTTATTTATTATTTCTCTTTCTTTGTTATTCACTATATTTTCGACACGTTTTTAGTCTTAAGTTTATATAATCAGTGAAAGACTCGTTAAAATCGGTTATTTCAATGTCAGACTCGAGAGGTTTAGTTCAATACATTTGCCTATAATTTAATCAGTGTAAGTTGTATTTGTTACAACTTATAAATAACTAATCTAGATAAAAAGAACTTTTAAATTTTTTTTCAGTGTATTTAAATCTAATGTTTTTAGATCATAGTACTAATATTCTTAAGCAAAAGTTATACATAAATAAAAACAAATTTGTTTTTATTTAAAAATAAAGTTACGATAAATTGAAGTGAAGTACTAATAAAATGTGTTTATAATAGCATTAATTGTGTGGATAACACGTGAAATGTGAATGAATTTTACGGTAAACTAGTTTAAACTAATCTTAAGACAGTGTTTACATATCATATGTTTGTGTGGTATATAAACTAGATCAATGTTAGTGTGAATTTAAATATTTGTTGTATTCATATGAAATTAAAAAGTTTCAAATAGTTTATAAATAAAGTTATTTTAAAAGTTATAATAGTAATAATCTTTATATGAAATGTCAAACCGATTTTTATTGAATACGTTTGATAGACCGTCCACTGTATTGTGGGTAAA